TTTTCTTCGCAGGATTTTGACCGTTTCACTCCGTTCTTTCGCCATTTCCCCACTATACAGCGCCCTACTAGCATTTTAGGCTAAGTAGGAAACCATCGTGCCAACTGCCTTTAAGGAAATGCGGCTAAGCAGTGATGTTTGATTCATGGCGTATCCCATATGAACCCATCCTACCATAGTTTCTTCCTCGTGGCAACTGGACAAAACAGGTTTTACATAGAAGTGCTTATATATGGGTAATATAATTGTCGTCATAGTTCCATGAATTGAGTTTCGCATTGTCACCGTCTTATAGCGCCCGAAGGCGTGTTACTATTGGTTACAAGGCTACGCCCACGGGCACAAGCAAACGGCTGCAATCAACTGCTCAAGCAAACGGCAAGCGTTTGGCTGAGGAGGGACGTGTGATACAGGGTTCGTCGTGCAAAGAGGGTCCCCAGCGAGGGGAAGGTCATATCTGGTCGATGGAAGGAGGGAGGTCGTATTCGTATTGCGAAAAATGTTTCCGGTTGTTGATTTTTCTCAATCTCCTATTTCAAGTGCGCTATATACCAGTTGGTTTGAAGGCAATTTCCCCAGGGTAGAAAAAGTATATTTTGAAAAAAAAACCTAAAAAAAGTGGATCGGTAGAGAAGTTGGGGAGGAATCCAGATTAATTAACTATTATGTCCGAATGTAGAGGCCTGAATAGCGATGGGAAACAGAGGTTCGGACCATATACCAGATTTTGAAGGGGTTGCACTTTAGTATTGTCAAAATATTTCCCGTCACGACAGACGTGAAATGTTATAATTCACCCTAGACCAAGGGCTTCATAGCGGAGAAAATGGGTCATTAATTCAGCAAGAGCGGAGCGTCCGCATCCGAATGACAACAGATCGCCGGGTAGAGTAAGAAAGAAAAGAAGTATATGTGCTAATCAACCATTTCAGGAGGCGACTGGATAGCATTAGAAAGAGATGGGAAAGACGTTTCTAATTTGCTACGAGAAAATTACGCGGGGGGATGTGTACAGGAAGGACGTGACCCTGCAACGATCAAGATCCAAACATGTTAAGTGAAATAAAGGAGTGTATGTGACTTGTACGCCTGGAGGAATTGAACGCACGGTTTCACGGCGACCACATCTGGAATTCAGGCCTACTGTGCCTCCCTGACTGCCCTCTTTGCTGTTTTGAGAACGAGGGAGGGGTCATAAGGAAGGCACAGTAGCAGGGCTGGTCGCTTACGCGAGCAGTGCGAACCACATCTTCAAGAAGGCTCCATTGAATAAAAGCTGCTGAAAGTATAGTTTATCCTTTTGTGACGCGATATGTCTAGTCTGTTCGCTGTAGATGGTGGGCTTTGTCAGGAGCTGAGCTTGGCGCGGCGCCAAGTCGTTTTCCACCGAATACTGCCGCATCCACAGCGAACAAGACGGTACATCGAAAGCGTCACTGCAGTGTTCCCTATAGAGCGCACGAGTCAGGAGTGCTCGATTGTTTGACCTGAATAAAGCCCTCGAACTCGGACTGAAATTGGTGACACTCACAGAACCAAGCAAAACGCGAATACGTCCGCATATTACAGAATGTACAGCTTGGGCTGAACGATGTTAATAGCTTGGATATGCAAGAGACCAAGTTCAAAGAACATTATGCATTATGGAAGTTGAACAAGCGTGGCGTTGACGGCGAGAACATCATTCATTTGTTGCTAAATCGGTACGTTTTTATTTGATTGTGGAAAGGCTCCATTAATGCCTCTGAAATTCAAAGTATATACCTAGATTCACACAAAAACAGTAACAGCAATATTTTCCCTCAAAATAAGAACCAGGGCTTAGAAAGAGCAACCAGTTGAATGCCAGGAATGGACTGTCTCCGTGCCTTTTGACATCGTCCTGATAGATTGCAATCATCAGGGCACGTCAAAGGTTGGAGTCGAACGTACGTGCGTCAGTGGTGAAGCTTGCAGTATAATCGGCGGATGGAAGGGGTCGGATTCATATTTATGAGAAAAAGGTTTTGGTCATTGAGTTTCCTCCCCCTCCCCGCTCGGCAGCATTCCGTGGAACCCCTTTCGACGGCAGTTTTTTGGAGGGAAAACTAGAGATTTCCGAAAAAATTCCCGAAAAAAGTAGCGAGGGTTGGGAGAGAATTAAGGAGGATGTTGGAGGGGGGGGGGAATTGAGTGCGGGAAGGGATTGTACTAGGAATTTTC